TTAGTATTACAAGTTCAGTGTTTTTTCCTATAACAATCATCTATATCCTTTGAAATAGCAAGTATTTCATTATATCAAAAACGAAAGCTCCTTAAGATATTGCGGATTCCGTTGTAAATGAGACGAGTGCGGGACAGTAGTCATTATTCAATTAATTAAAAAAAAAAATTTGAGAAAAAAAAATTTGACCAGAAACTCAAAGGGTGAGCCAATTTAAATTATGAGTTAACCAGTAAAGCAAACTCTAGTCCGCTGATTGGGACATCCCGTGGCTCTCGAGCTCAGGACTCCCACCAGTCGCGTCTAGAAGAGCAGTAGAAGAACAGTCCATCCCACGTATACCTGGCCCACATGGGGGCGAGGGAGAACAAACCCCGGGGAGACTAGAGATGGGTGTATCGTCTTCATTCCGATAAGATCGGTCACCCGTCAGCCCCTTCCGGTCATCCCTACATTCCAAAGTCTGAATAATGGAATGTAAATTTTAATCCTGAACTTGATTCGTAGCAGTATCGCTCTATTTCAGATTAAACTAAGTTACAAAACGGTAATATGCGTAACAGTAGATAAACATATTAAACACAGAGTGATCAAAAAACACGTTTACACTGCTCGAATGTCAACACAAGACTCCCAACAAAAATAGGTAAATATGTTAATTAAGGGTCTCGTCTATTTTTCACCACCACGAGAAGAAACATTATCTTTATATTATATACAAAATTCATACATGAAAACAAAATTTAGATGTCGGAAAATCGATTAAAGTGACATGGACGTACCTGGCCATATCAGCCATATTTTAAAACCAACCAGGACCCTCTAAGTTGAAGTTCTGGAGATTTGAAGTGGAATATTCAAAAGACAAAAAGACTTGAGCTTTCTTTGTTTTCTTTTTTCAAAAGTAAAAATAATGAATTTCTAGTTGAGATAAGATTCAATTCATCTCATTGGACGCAGGAAGAGTTATAGATAATAAAAAAATTTAAAAATTTGTTGTATATTCTCAATAAAAACTATAATCTCTGAAATTCAATAAAAAGAGGGGCGAGGTTCCTAATCTACATGTTTATCCAAAAATTGATAAACCATAAGAGCGTTTTGTAGTTCACAGTTATTTAATTATCCAATTATTCGTGCAGGGGGGTTGATTCCGGATGAAACAGGTTTGGACCCCTGTTCCACTGTAAGATGCACAGCTACCACAACCTGTGTCATCATCCAAGTCAAGTGCTTCACATTCCCTTGTCCTGGGCAGGCTCGATGTTCTCTGAATTCATGGACATCGTAAAGGATGAAGTGCTGACCTCCTGATTCCCTTGAACTACTACCTAAAAAAATGTAATTTTGAAAATATAAAACTATCCATTATATTATGATGATTATAGTGATGAAGTATAGTGGTGTGCAGACGGCGAGAACAATATTCGAAAAATGATGATTACGTAACGTTACTTTTACGTAATCGTGGGATGACCTTGCTTTTCGGGAGAAAGCGCTAATAGTGCCGTAAGAAATTTCTTAGCGAGCACAAATTTTCATGGAAATTTCAGGACAATTTTTAGAATTCCTACAGTACTTTTCCCTAAAAATCAAGATCGCCCCACATTAATGTAAAAGTTTCGTAATTTTTGAGTATTGTTATTTCAGCGTGGAGGATCTTTTTCTAGACATTGAAGTCATTGGAAATTATAACAATGTTAAAACTCAATATGATGTAGTCAAGATATTTACTTAAAAACGAGATCCTGATATAACATTCACTCAATTTGCATTATTAATTCAGTGTCGGTGGCAGAATAGTTTGTAACACACATATGTATGACTTGCATTGATGTCAGCATTTACTTCCAGCAGCAGATGATATAGTTATTATGGTGAAGAAGCTTCAATACACAAAAATTTAATTCGTATTCTTGTGGTAATAAGAAAAGGTAATAGATTGGTTATCAAGAGCTTTTAAGACGCTAATGTGACAAAATATCCAATTTAATCTCAATTTAGATGGGGAAATTCGATATCGTTACCAGTACTTACTAGTTCCTGTAATTGGTTGTCATTTACTCTTGGGCTTCGATTTTTTTTTATTTCAGAAGTTCTCCTATATCGGAGTTTTTTTATTCTTTAGAAGAACATGATTAGTATTTTATCATTTCGAAGAGGACTTTTCTTTCATCGAATATGAAATATTATTGTCCGAATCTGCTTTAGTTAAAGTCAAGTTCAAAAGCCGAGACAGAAAAAAAAATTACAAATAATTATATATAACACATGGACATTCGGGCTGCAAACCACTGAACTATATAAAGTCGGATCAAGTAAATCAGCCGAATGTTCTCGTCTGTTTTTTTTTGTGCACTTTCAAATGAATGAACGACTTTTCACTCGGCTAGTTTAAATGCCAATATTTCAACTCTCGGTGATGATTTGAATTTCTATCTCACTCATTTTCCTTATGTGCGCAATTGAAGAAATACCCTGTGGATGGTCAACTTCATATAACAGTTTCACCTCCCAAACCTACCCATGGACCGATAGACCGATAAAAAAAATATATTGCACTTTGTTTTAAGTCCTCTATAAAATGTTCAAGTATCATAAAAATCGGGGAATGACCCTATCTATAGTGTTCCTTGTCAGTGCTACCAGGGAAAAAATATAATAGAATACATAATTCGAATTTACCGAATCAATTAATCTTTCGGAAACCGTCGAACGGAAGTCTAGACACTAAGAATCATCGGAATGAATAAAAAAAATTCCTCTATGATGCTTGATTAATGGGCGCCATGTCGGTCAAGATTTTCCACTAGTTTATCCTGTATCTGTACGTGGGATACAACTCCTGGAGTACAATGCGATATAATTGGAGAAGAAGTCCGAATAAGGTATACATGAAAAAAAAACCTTAGAATCAATGATACAGTATATTTAAAACAAATATATTAATAAACTCATTTAAAGTTTTTCTTCCCGCAACCAAACTACCAAAAAATTCACATAAAGCAAGGTCTCCTTTTGGAGTATTAAACGAATTCACTTTATTATTTTTAGAAAAATGCACTGATGCATTCACATTGACGTAAATGTAGTGTTTATTAATTTAATTTCTAGTTCTTTTTTCATTTCTTTGCAAAACAATATGGCAAATCAGCGATTCTCTTATCTTCGCGATTCAGGTTGTAATAACATTATCATAAAACGAGACCCGATAAAGAATATCAGGAACTGCTGTCATATAAAAGCGATCGCATTTATAAATTTTTATTCATATTGAAGTACATCGATTTTTTTTTTCTAAAAAAAAATCAACGAATTATTCTCTGCATTATGAAGATTATCTCCATTTTCGTGATCATTGGGATGGTTTTGATGGCTGTTAATGGACAGCGTTTTTGCCGAGGTCGAGGAGGAGTGGTAAGTCGGCTTAAATTGATCCAAATTATTATATTACATTTTTGAAAACATTCACTATTTATAAAACACGATCAGTTGTTATGTAGAAATGAATGGATTTAAAAGTCAACATGAAATTTTGTAATATGACATTCAACGCGGATAATTACAAAAAAATTTTGACCGTTCCAGTGTTCGACCCCTCGCCAATGTTGTGCTCGTCTTTGCCGCATGGGTCGCTGTCTATGTATGTGAACATTTTTATAATTTAAAGTCTTTGATTCAACGTCTTAATCACTAAATAATTCATTGAATTTTCTTTTTCAATTAGAAATCCTTCCAGACGTGTCTCTGCTAGTCTAATGTGTAGTGAAAGACTATCTACACGGTAACATCCATATAGCTAAGACGATGGAAAATACCAGCTCTCAAGGACTCTAATGATTTTCCATTAATATTAATAAATGCTAAATCAATACTAACCAATTTGATGAAAATTTCAAAAACCCAGACTGTTCGTTACTGTTGTTCCCGTTAATGGGACAGATGCAGAAAATCGCTTCAAGGATTTTAGTACCAACCGACGAAAAACCACATTAATCAAGGGAAAAATCAAGGAATAAAAAACCATGTAACTGAAAATACGTTTTTGCAGTGACAACCGACTTTTAGCAACGAGGAAGTGCTGAACTCCAACCCGAGAACGAAATTCTTATAATCAATACGTTAATTATTTCTTAGATCTATAATCCGTTTAAAAAACTGAGGGATACAGAGTTTCATACCTATAGCAGGAATTAATGCCAGTGGATGAACAAAAAAACAAAATATTTCCGATACTAGAAAAAGACGTGCTCATGTCTCGCTCTTGAGGGTTCAGTGGAAGTTATACCTTAGAAGTCGAAAATGAAAAGAATATACTTTAGATACTTATTTTGGCTGAATATGAAATTTTTGTTCATTATTTTAATTGTACAATTTTCTGAGTAAATAATTTTTTACAATTTTATTGTCTCGCTGACTTCCTAAATAAAGTCGTAGTGTTTTCCATGATCATATATCAGAAAGAGCTACATACAACTGTCCATGGTATTCTTTGCATTTTGTGTTATTGTAGTTATTGCTTACATGTATCCCAAAAAAATTAGGCTTTAGGCTTTTGGTGGTGAAGCGTTCCTTTTACAGGGTGAGGAAATGCAAGCAGCTCTTTAGCCAGCTTTTCCATAGGTTCAGGTAGAAGGGTCCTGGTATGCCTGGTTCCCCCTGCAGAGCGCCATCACTCTACAACCCCTTTCTCCCCTGGTTTTCCTTAACAGAGTCTATGTGTACACCCACCCAGCTCCTTCCCAGACGCTCAGTAGCCGCAACCTGGCCGCCGAGATCCGCACTACCCCCATTATGTCGGGATGTGGTGGCTGAGGGAAGAGCAGTGCCTCCAGTGGAAAGGTGGGGGTCATTCTAAGTGCCCTCGTAATACCCAGCACCGCGAATCTGCCTATTTTGTGTGCCGAACCATCAACCGACAGCAGCGTACGTCAGCTGCGGGACCATTATGGTCGTGTAGATCCACTTCACTATCTTTGGCCTTAGTCCCCATGTATTTCCGAACATTCTCCTGTAAGCCCGTAAGGCCGTAATGACCTTGTTTGCCTGCAAGGCAAATGTTTCATGGCATGTGTTTCCTCCAGCTGAGCCTTCTGTCGATCCATACCCCCAAGTATTTTACATCTTCAGAAAAGCCCAGTTCTGTGCCATAAATAGAGTAGGGTCTTACGCCACTCTTTCTATGGATGGAGTGCACCATCTCTGTCTTGCCTGGGTTGAACCTGAGAGTATGAATGGTGCGCCACCTTTGCACATAGTCCTCAGGTGAACCATGCCCTCCCTCCTGCTAGTTACGAGTAAAGCCACATTATCAGCGTATCGAACGACCTCAAGTCCTAGTCCTTCGAGTCCAGCTAAGAGCCCGTCCACGACGAGAAGCCAGAGCAGAGGTGAGATGACTTCTCCCTGTGGGCAACCCCTCCCCGGCAACGCTCGCACCGTACTGTCCCCGAGTGAGGAATAGACCGTTCTGATTCGGAGCATGGCGGTAATCCATCCGATGATCGATTCATCGATCCCAAAGGATGGCGTCGCCTCATCCACGATGTCAGAGGTGTTATCAAAGGCCCCCCTGCTCTCTCAATCCTCCCCACCAGACTGTCCAAGTTTCAGGTGATCTGCCAGCGTGGTACGCGTGTTGTGAGATGCTGATAGGTTTTACCTTTAGCACTTCCTCCTTAATGTGCCTATCAACGAGCCTCTCCAGCAGCTTCAGCAGGAAACGCCTAGGATACGCCTAGGCGTGGTCATAGCTGCATTTAACCGGTTTGGGATAAACCCAACCTTGACTTCCCTCCATCTTTTATGTTCCATTGCTATAGCGTACCTTTTAGCGAAATCTCATTGAGATATGAAAAACTTCAGTAAAAAACATGAATTATTCGTGTGATCGACTTCACTTGATTGATTGATGTCTGTAGAAAATCAAAAAGACAGTTTTAAGTGAGAAACAATAAATTTTTGCGGACTGTTTCTCACGATTTCTCGTTTAGGAATCGGTACTGCATACTTCCCAAAATCGAAAACTTGAACATCACTACGAAAAATACTATCCGGGCTGTTGGGATGGGGTTTTTTCACTGGTGTGGAGTTGGCCCACGAACCACAGACAAAAAACCCCATCCTAACACCCCAGAAATATTCTAATGTTATCAGGTCGATAGCTAGAGGATTATGAAGAGTGTGAAGTTGCCTAAATGAGCGAAAATTTCTTGCTTAGTTGTTTGTGACAGTATTGTCGTTGTTGATGTTGTTGGCTCTTTGTAGGAAAACAATAGATTGTTCTTCGATTCACCCCCTATATTTCATCCTTATCCAAGCATCCTTAAATGCACTCCCTCCTATAAAAAATTATCACTCCCTCCCCTCTTTAATTTACATCGCTTTTTCTATGAGCACCATGAATCTTTAACCATTGTGGGTAAATGTGCAGATTAAGGACTTCACCTATTATTCATCATCACGAGTGTAAAAACCAACCTACGTAACAAGTGCATACATAAAAATCAAATCGAGATTCCATTGGATACCGATTTGGGGTTTTCCACCATTTTTTTTAAATATTAAAAAACGAGAGGTAAATGCGAGTCATCGCATAAGGTAAACAACAGACCGATAAATGCACACAACTCTGCCGGATGAAGTAAGTGAGGAAAATTTACACAAAAATGATAAGAAGTCGCGAATTAATTTTGAACACCTGAAAATTTGCACAGCATGTGTTCTCAGTGAATGATGAGGAATGAACGATGATGGATATGCCTAATTAATTAGTTAATTTATAATTCAATGTACTCGTATTTATAATAGATTATAAGTATTTAAATCGGCATTAAACAATTTGAGCTTTCTAATCACACGTCTCAATTCGTTCTTGCATAAAAATTCAGTTCATCTTGCTCGAAAGAATAATATTATCTGCAAAGCATATAAATTATCCATCAGGAAAAAAATTCAATATTTATGAAGCCTGCAAATAATAACAGTGCGTTCGCATATAAAATAGTCGTTTTAGTCTGTACTCGCATTGGAAAGTGGTTCACGTTGAGAATCATCAGAAAATAAAAAAAAGTTTTTCAAAATGAAACTTTTTGCGGTTTTTTTATTCGTGATGGTGCTGGCAGTATCTACAATGGCACAGCAGTGCAGAACAGTGGGAAGATGGGTAAGTATCTCTTATTAATTGTTCCAAAAAGCAAATGTCACGAGAAGAAGTCGGCCCTAGCCGACAGATCAATTGTTTATGGATGTACTACCCGCCCTCTGTTAAAAAAACTCATCGGTCGTGTTACTTTCTTTTTTACGAATTGTAGATTGAATTGAAGCGAAAAAAAAACCGTTTTTGCATTTTGTCATTATTTAATTACTATCAAAAGGTCGTGATCGTGTAATAATGTGCCTACGTTTTTTCTAAATTTTTCAAAAATTCATAAAATTTTAGAAAAAAACAGGAAATTTAGCACACGTTTAAGGGAGAGTCATGGAATAATGATGAAACGAAAAAGTGGTGTATTTTTTCGCGTCAATGCGATAAAAAATTTGTCAAAAAATTCCAAAAACAAATTTAGGCTAAAAAGAGATGGAGTGACCTTAATTGAGTGATGCCGTATGCCCATAACTAGTCAATTGGGCAGCGAACAATATTCAATAAAAATGACCTAGGTTTTCTAGAATTTCTAAGCTACAAGCAGTTAAAGAACATTTTACGAAAATACTTAACCGATTAATTACTTAGTTAATCATTAAGTCGCGTAATTCATTGCTAATGGGAATTGAATTACTAAGTCATTCTTATCTGAATTGTCGACGAAAAATGATCATACTTCTAGTTGAATTTTCGTAATTCCTTCTATTTTCGGTGAAGCTTAAATCACGATAGAGAGATAAATTGAATTTTTTATTGTAATTTCAGTGTACACGAAGTGAACAATGCTGTGCATCTTATTGTCGGAACAATCGTTGCCTCCGTTGTAAGTAATAGCGATTTTTGTGGCCCGAGATGAATGACTAAATGAATTTTATTGACTGAATGTTTTTGGCCACAGGGGGAACTATTCCATCTGAAAGAGGGCGATTCAATCCGTGCTCTCTCGTGAGATGTGCAAATGGACCGTGTGTTGTTCAACAGGTTCGATGTCCCAACAGACCAGAGTGCCCTGGAGTGGCGCGATGTACAAATCGTCCTTAAATCCGATTAAGGTTGCTGTCGGACGACAGTCACTGTAAAAAGTTTATCCACTGTAAAACGAACCAGATTAAAGCACAATCTTTTGACAGTATATAGTCTTGCTTAATTGATTGCATTAGTTTCGGGCAGCTCGAATATTACTATATATTTTTCATTGTAACTATCCTTAATTATGTAAATTTATGAACTTTCTGTAATTCATGCTCGAAAACAAAACAGCCAGTCGATTTATTTTTTTTTTTACTGTTGAACTGTTAATTACTCGAAACTCCTAATTCGTGACCCTCCATTTTAATACGTGGATAGTAACTCAAATTTCCAAGAATTTCTATCTCCAGTCCAAGACAATCTTAACTAGAGATCATGATCATTTTGCAGCTACTTTTTTCAACTATTCACTATGAAAATTTAAACGAAAGCTGGCGAGTAAATAATTTACACGACAATAACTTTAAATAACGTGAAGAAACGATCTTCCTCGCTACGACAAAAGAGGAATTAAAAAATTATAATCAAAAGTCGCAACAATTGCCTCTCGATTTTGAACTGTAATCTGATACCTTATTATCACATGAATGGAAAATTGAATTTAGGAAATTATTTAAGTCGACAATTATTGTTCATGGACCATGAAAACATAAATAGTTAGTTATCTGGATAATATATCATGAAAAACAAAGAACATTAACTCAGGCGATTCATTTTTCCGCTTCCCAAATAGGATGAAATAAAAAATGATATTACCCACGTAAATCAAATCATTTCCCTAGCAGTACAAATACAAGACTGAATACTGAATAAACAGCGCAGTAATGATAACGGCATAAATGTTGCACTTCTAAAGAAAGAAGCAATAACACAGAAAAAAAATACGTGGATCAAGTACATTCTATACGCGAAAATAGTATATTTTTTTTCAAAATAGTTTTTATTTAATTTGACGTTTTTGACTTCAATTCCATTTGTATTGTATTTTATTTGTATGATTTTAGAAATTCTTCGATTTTAGAAGTCACTTTCCTCTCCAAAAGGCCTCGTCCCGAGGAATAAAAAAATTGATCAGTTCCTCCTAATAATTGTAGTAAAGAAAGGTATTGAATATAGAATATAGAAAGATATTGACTATAGAATATATTACAATCAAATCCAAAATATATTTGCAACAACTATATCAACATACTTATCTTAAGTATGATATATATACTGGATTCAAGCTTTCTTTTTTGAATGCGAGAATAAAATGGGAACTGCACAGCATGGGAATGA